CCAGCCCCCCCCCCCCCCGAAAACTCAAAACCCTAAACCCCTAAACCCTAAACCGCGCTAGAGCCCCTGCACGTTTCGAGTCCTCGCGCAGCGGCGATGGTTTGAAGGGGACGTCCGGCCGAACCCCGTGTTGGAGCACACAGATGGAGAAGCAGCGCGGGCACTAGTTTAGGGTTTGTAGGGTTTATAGGGTTCATAGGGTTCATAGGGTTTAGGGTTTAGGGTTCTGGGCTGAAGCTGCTTCAGGGCTCAGGGCTCAGGGTTGGGGCGTGAATGTGGGCTCCGTAGTCAAGTACTCCGAGCCTTCAACCCAAAACAGAGACCCCAAACCCCAAATCCCCAAGCCCCGAACCTAAACCCTAAACCCTAGACCCTAGACCCTAGACCCTAAACCCTAAACCCTAAACCCTAAACCCTAAACCCTAAACTCACCGTGTCTAGGGCTCAGGCTTTCAAAGCCATGGCCGCCCAAGGAGGTTTGGGCTGTGAGATAGGCAAGTCATTCTGATTTTCTCGGGTTGGCACCTGCCACAGACCCAGACATACCTTGTTGAAGAACCCTAAACGGTTTAGGGTTTAGGGAGCCCGAAGCTCTGAAACCCTAAACCCTAAACCCTAAACCCTAAACCCTAAACCCTGAACCCCCTTAAACCCTGGAAGTTTTGCAGGTTTAGCTGCCCACACCCACGAGGTCGACTGAATGCAGGCTGCTTCGCTTTGGAGCTGCCCATGCTGCTTTTCTTCAGTCAGAGATGATTTGAATTGGCGGCGGCTTGCCCAAAAAGTACTGACAGAGGGCTCCGCAAGTATCTTACACCCTAAACCCGAAACCCGAAACCATAAAACCTAGACCCTAAACCATCCCAAACAAGAGTGCTCCGAAGCTAAAAGGGAGCATGGCAAGGGTAGAGTATTGCATGGGATCATGAAGAGTTCATCCTACCCTGTGTTCGCCCTCATCAAGCTGAACATTTTAGGGCACTGCTATGAAACCGGACCACCTTCTCACCTCTTCGAGGAAGTTTTGAGGATTCTGTCTTTGAATCGGGACTTTCGCGCTTCAACTATTGGACATTTTTTGGGGGGGTAGGGGTGCCAGGAGACAACACAAGCCTAATAGATGCTATGAAGCCTTTAGAGCACATTGCGCACGTGGTGCCACGCCATCGCATTTCTTCAGCCGGCAGTGTATAGCTAGGATGGCCGGTGAGATCTGCGCATGCAAAGAACAACCCAGAATGTGGGAGTAGAGATCTACGTCTTCACCAGGAAGTATAGTCAGATGGAAAGCATTCGAGCAGTTCTGCAGACCAGGGCACCTTCTCGGGTCCCTATATAGTACGGCACCGTATAAAACGGCCACAAAAGGAACCCTACTCTAAAGAACTACCCATGAATAGATGGTCTAGGTCATCGAGACACTCATTAAACGGCGCGTGTCATACACAATCTGTGCTCTCTTCCCAGCAATCGTGCCTAGACCCTTCTTTTGTTTGGGCGATACGTTTGGGTTTTAGGTTTAGGAATCACGACTCTAGACCCTAAACCCTAAACCTGAATGCGGAATCAGGGTTGAAAAGGTTCCAGGCTTTTCAGGGAAATGTCTGAAGCAAGGCCGGGGGCGCCCCAAACCCTGAGCCCCCGCAAATCCTCAACCCCCCCAACCCCTCAACCCGAAAGCCTCAAGCAACCTTAAAGGCCCCTAAACCCTAAACCCTAAACTCTAAACCCTAAACCCTAAACCCTAAACCCTGGAAACACTCTCCCACTCCGGGGTCTCAAAGCAGCTCTGACGCAACTTCTCTGGGAAGGTCGAGGCGGGAGCCCTTCGAGCGTAGGTAAGTAGGGTTTAGGGTTTAGGGTTTAGGGTTTGGGTTTAGGGTTTAGGGTTTAGGGTTTACATTCAGGGCCCATCACGCTGAAGTTCACTCTGCGACCGGAATCCGGCTTGCAAACCTGGCCCCTGAAATCATGCGTTTAAGCAGCCTAAACCAGCTCAGGAGATGAGTTAGCTGTTCGGCAGCGCGGACACTTGGCACGTCATTCATAGCGTTAATCTTCTCTACAGTGCTAAGCTTCTATGAGACCACGTGGCACCCGCGTTCTTCTGCGTGGGAATGCGCTACAAATCGGCGGGGCCCGCGTTCTTCTGCGTGGGACCGTACCGGGTCTCGGTGGGACCCGCGTTCTTCTGCGTGGGACCGTGCCGGCTTTCGGCGGGACCCGCGTTCTTCTGCGTGGGACCGAACTGGGTTTCGGGGAGGCCCGTTCTTCTGCGTGGGACCGTGCCTGGTTTCGGTGGGACCCGCGTTCTTCTGCGTGGGACCGCACTGGGTTTCGGTGGGACCCGAAATCGCTCCTTTCTTCTGCGTGGGACCGTACACCCCGTTTGGGTTTTACAAGGCGCCCCGCTGGACCACTTTTTCGTGTAGTTGCAGCGTTGTAGTCCAAGCGCCTGCCCAGCCGGTGCGTTGGTGTGTGGTCTGTGAAGCCCCGAGTGGGCTTGCCATATGGGTGGGCTTGCTTTTGGTACCGCCAACGGTCAACTGTCCGGCTTCAACACGAGGGGCCCAAATAGTAGGGTTTCGGGTTTCGGGTCTAGGGTTTGCAGGGCTTAGAGATTGAAAGGGTTTATGGGGTTTATGGATTTTAAAGGGTATAGAGAGTTAGGGTTTATAGGGTTTGCAAGGTTTACAGAGTTTATAGGGTTTTGGGATTTAGGTCGGCATTTATGGTTTACAGGTTTACATCAGCCCTGTTGTGTTGATAGGTTGAAGGCGGGGGAGGGGGGGTAGGGGTTGAGGTTTGAGGTCTGGGGTGTCGGGGTGTCGGGCTGTTGGGGGAAGGGAGCGTAGCTTAGACCCCGAAGAACCCTATCGTAAAGACCCCTACCGTCATCCAAGTCGTAAAGCTCTAGGTTTTTTTGGGGTCTCAGGCAAGACTTGAGGTGTTGTGGGGGTTTCAGGTAAGGCTCAAGGTTCTGGGGCTTAAGGTTAGGGTCCAGGGACCGCCCTAACCCTGGGCCCTAAACCCTAAACCCTAAATCCTAAATCCTAAACCCTAAACCCTAAACCCTAAACCCTAAACCCTTTCTCCAATGGGGGAAGAGGGGTCCTGGCGTAAAATCATCAAGGGCCCCACGGGCCTTCCTTTGAGAAGATTGCGCGCCTAGGCTCAGCCCGACATGCAGCCAGGACATCGAGAGCATTGCGGAGCCGACTGTTTTGGGTCGGAACCAAGCCCTGTAAGGTTCAGGGCTCAGGGTTCTTCATTAGGGTTTGGGGTTTGGGGTTTAGGGTTTAGGGTTTAGGGTTTAGGGTTAGGGTTTAGGGTCTTGGGTTCAGGAACTCAACGGCCCACATGAGGCACCGCCCTACACCCAAAATTTCAAACCTGAACCCTTTCTCAGTCGTAGCGTAGCTGCATGGTTCCTTATGTACCCTTAAAACGGTTTAGGGTTTAGGGTTTAGGGCTTAGGGCTTCTAGGGTTTCGGGTTTAGGGTTTAGGGCTTAGGGTTTAGGGCTTACTTCAAGACTCTTTAAGAAAGGAAGGGGCTGAGTTAAGGCACCATGTAACTGCCCCAAAACCTAAGCTTGGCTAACTACTTCGTCACTTCTTCCCCAGGTCCTTCCCCCAAGCCCCAAAAATCCGAAAGGCCTTAAACTCAGCACCTCCTAACCCTAAACCCTACCCTCAACCCTCAAGCCTCAACCTGAACCTCGCGAGTCCAAAAGCTCGAAGCCCAAGCGTTGCGAGCGTGCATGTGTGCCCGCAGTATCATGGGACGGTCCAGGTGGGGAAAGGATCCCCTCCCAAGTTTTGGGGTCGAGGGTTTATATAGTTTGCTTTTTGTGCTTAAGGTTTAGGGTTTAGGGTTTGGGGTTTAGGGTTTAGGGTTTACGGTTTAGGGCATGCACTAGAACCCTCAACCCTAGACCCTTGACTGCTATACATCGACACCCAACCCTAAACCCTAAACCCCAAACCCTAAACCCTAAACCCTGTGCTGGAG